ACACACATCTCGTGGCTTTAATTTCTTTTTTCTTTTTTTTTTTGCCTAATTATTACAAACATCGTTCAGGATTTATCGACACATTACACAGATTACTTTTTCCCCTTATCGTATCTTCTGTACAACGTCAGTTAGATCATGATTATCGAACGAAACGTTGCGGAGGTGTCGTTTCGTTTTGTACACACATCATGGAGACACACAGATCGAGCTAGAAAATCATCATCGAAACATCCAACCAATTCCCCCTATTTCATTTTCCTCGGAGGAAATCACGTCCTCAAACCCTAAGAGAATTTTTTCCCTCTTCTTTTATTCCCTCTTTCTCATGTCGCACTACTCTCAACGCAATCGCAATCTAATCGAAGAAACTTCCAACACGAGGAGTTCTTGCTACTTCCGTCGGGATAGCAACATTTCTTCGCCCGCCACAAAGCGGGAAGGATTTCACGGGGTCACCTGTCTGGACACTTGGTCACGTGTCAGCTCAGACGTAGCAGAAAATTGCGACACGTGTCGAGTACACGTCTTCAGACTCTTCACGGATGATCTCCGAAGAGCAACCAGTCGTGCTACCAGCTCTACGTTAATACACATCATCAGCGAAGAACGCATGATTACGGTATTTTCGTTTCTTCAGATTGCAATCATCGGAGGAAACTCCATCCAGAGATAAGATCTTGAAATCGTCGTTAAATTTCATCTCTCGATTGAACCACTCTCCGTTTCCTTTACCCGTTTCACGACCGATGTCTGGAGCAAAGCAGCACTCTGATCTGCTACCGTCCTTGAAACAGGCTACAAATCGGTTTCCCTGGACGAAGGATCGACGGAGTAACAACGCGACAAGCCACAGATCTAGCTCCGATCTAACGTAATCGATTACAATTGGTCCGTCTCCACGGTGATACGATCGACTCGACGATCGAGCCTTCGCCCGGATCACAGGAAGCTTTCGTTCGGCGCGTTTGCCCCTACGTCGATCGCCTCGATTCCCTGATTGTCCAGGCGTTCGTCGCCATCCATCTCGCCCGCCTTGATCTCGTAATTATTGATAGGATCGCCGTACTGGCTCTGATAGAACTCCTCTCTCATCATGTGATTCAGGTTGCTGCAACGAAAGTAGAGGATCTCGCGGAAAGGCTTCCGGAAGTCCCTGTTCAGCGTCGCGTAGATGATCGGGTTCAGGAGGCTGTTGCAGTAGCCTAGCCAGAGGAACAGACTGGATAGAAACGGTGGGATCGCGTCTCGAAATGGCTTGACAAGGGCCAACACGAAGAATGGCAGCCAGCAGATGGTGAACGCGCTCATTATGATGCCCAATGTAGTGCTGGCCTTTCTTTCCTTCGCCAGGTGGAACCTGAGCTTCTTCTGGTGGGGAGAATTCGTGACGCTGCAGGTGCTGTTCAGGTGGTTCCTCACGATCGTTGACTTGGTAGACGTCATCGGTGGTGTGGTTGTCGTGGAGGGGATTGGTTTCTCGAGCTTCTGCAACATCGGACACTGGGACTCGTTGCTCTTACGGGGACCACTAGCGAAACAGCGCGTCCCATGGCCGCTGCACTGTAACAGAAAAGTCAACGGTTCGTTGTGACCTATTTTTTCGTTTTTATTTGTCTGTGTTGTTTTTTATCGTTCAGATTTTTTTAGCGTTGGTGTATGGTGTATGTATTTGGTGTAAGTGCATTTCAGGGGCTCTTTGGAGGTTTAACCTCTCCATGGGGAACGTCGAATGCCTCTTTTTTACGGCTGTCGAGTCAGCTGGCTCGACTCATTGCCTATGCAAGATGAGTGGAGGGCGTTGGAACGGTTCGAAGCTTTGTGAGCTTGAACGTTCTAGTTGATAAATACGGGGGAAGAGTGATGCGTTTGTCTCTCGAGGCTGTATTCATATGGTTGTTAAATGTTGCTTAAAGCTTACAATTAGTGAATTAACGGTTGAGTATACTGTTTCAGAATATGTGAAAATACTTCGCTTACAAAAAGGTGACAATTTTCACGATTTTTTTATGACATTACTGTTCCATGGAATTTTTTAATTTTTTAACCATATTTGCAAGATACATTGACGAAGCAAAGAAAAAAGTTTGACTCGAAAATATAAATTTTCTTCAAAGTTATAAGCACTGCCCTGAAATTCATCGTTAGGTAGATGTATAGCAAATAATTTTGCGATTCGTCTAAATTTAAGAAAAGATTTGTTTAACAGGTTCCAATTATTTGAAGTAAAATAAGAAAAAATGACGATGACTTCGTTTCGGAGACAAAAATTCATTTAACTAATATTTCTTAAAGATTCAAGTGTTTCGGACAATTATCAGGATAACTAAATTTTCACGTAATCATCGAAATAACGAAATTTTTCCAGTGAAATCCACGCGTAATGCGTCTCGATAAAGGGAGAATATTGTTAACGAAGAATACACTCGCTGAATCGAGGACATTTTCGGCGTATTCGCGAATTATACGCCACAAGGCATGTTCCCGAATTGAACTCGCAATCTGCGGCAACGATAACAACGCTGCTGCGGTTCTCGAACCTTCCGGTGAAACAAATCTTCCGTGTATACCGGTGCAACTGGCTTACTGATAAACAGTTATCAGAGTAAATACGGAACTCCGTATTTTGATGTGTTCAACGGTAACGTTTCACAATTTGCAAATATCTAGAATTACACAGGACAGTCAGCTCTGTATATATCGAGCTTATTTAATTCGAAAGTTATCTACGAATTTATCTTTTCCTTCGAATTTCCAAGCTGTTCGATGGTTCTGCTAGCTACGTTCACGTGAACGAGGGGAAAAATAAACGAACGTTGGAAAAATCCATTTTATTCACATCAACAAACAATCGATTTATTAATTTCTCTGTTTTGTTGGTTCCTATATTTGGCAAATCGAGGCGTTTACTCTCAGAGTTTCGAGAACTTTTTTAAATTAAATTTTCTGTTAAGAGAGTATTTATTGCGAGATATTCGTTAACTATTTATTCTGCAATTTTATTTTAATTTAGAGGCTTCAGAATTTATTCATTGTTGCGGACGATCAATAAGAAGAGGTTTAAGAATTACAAAAATTTATTCGCCGAAACGAAGAAAAATATCCCGCTAAATATGAATGCACATAACAGTTATTTCCGTTTGTCTTTTTGAAATTTAACCGCTCTAAGTTACCGCATGAATTTTAATTAAATCCAAACGATTTTTCTCCCTGGACTCGTTTAAAATTCATAGTGTACTCTACGCGGATGCAAAACCTGCAAGAATTACAGGAACGTACATGAAATCTGCGTAATATCGTCAAAAGTCAACCAGGCACTCTGACATGACACCTGTGTAACTATTGATAAAGGCCAACTGCAATATTTGTTAAACATAGATATATTAACTAAGTTAATTAAAACGTATCGTAATATTAATTTTAAAAATAAACTTTTCACGAATCCCTATTAACTACTCCTAGTGTTTCATACGTATTAAATTATCTTGAAAAATTTGACGATATTTCATAATCTTCTCATTTACACAATTTTTTCTCTCTCATAAATTTAACAATAGAAATTATTCAAATATAAAAATAAAATAATAATTTAATTATTTTACCATATATCGTGATTACAGCTTGACAAAATTCCAGATAATTTATCCGAATTTCGCAGATTCAGTCAAGTTTCGTTTTTCAATCTATCGACCGTTCGCGATATTACGATTCAGCTCATATTTTGGTAATTTTCGATTTTGCGTAAAATCGAAGTCACGCTTTTCCTTATCAAATATGCATTGTACGGAGACACGAACCCCTTAGGGGTTGCTCCACGTTTCGGTTTCGCATCCACTTGGGCATTGCATTAGGGTAATCGGATTGCGTGCGATTTCGATAGGAAGTTAGTGCTTGGTTCGATTTAATAAATCGTATAGCTTGTGGAAGCGATATAGCGAGGTCGTAAATGAAAGCATTAAGCGGCGACACCGATTGGTGTGCCCTATTTTTGGACTAATATTTCAAATCTCACAGTTAAGGTATACGCTATGAAACCGTTGTGCCTTGTGACAACGAGTCAGACTCGTGACACAGATTCTAGCGACGATACGACCAAAAACAGTTGATTAGTAAGAAAAATTAACTTTAATACTAACTTTTGTTCGAATTGATAAGATTGACGATTACCAAATGCTAATTAATCTGTAATACATTAGCTTCTTTTCTTACCTAATACAGTACTAAAACAGTAAAGAGCTTGTGCTTAGATGTATACTGATTTTACGACTTGACTGTATTGCTTCCACCGACTATACCTGCCGATTGTAGCATGGCGAACGATAGCATCGATCTTTTTAGCTTAATAAGTGTAGGTGACGTGCTACTTTGGGTAATTAGCAGATCTCATGTATGGAAAGTGAATCAAGTAATGGAGTTAAATGAGAGTGGGATTTTTCATTGAATATTTAGCAGATATAAAATGATAGGAATAATAACGGTGTCAAATGTTATTATCTGAGAACTTTCAAATTGGCGTTTTGAAATTTATTCGGTTAATTAAGTTTGTATAATGAAATTTAGACACTAACGTAATTAAATTATCAATCACTGCACTATTATCACACCTTGTACATCTTATTTTCTATATTCATTTAAACAAATCTTTTCATTGCTATTTTTCATCTTTTCTTTCAGTGATAACGTTCTTATCAAAGGAATATCTTTATCTTTTATATTTTTCGAACTTCTTAAACATTTTCCTATTCTTCCGTAAGTATGCGCTATTAACCAGTTAACTGCGGAATTTAGTTTTAAAAATCCCTCACAGGATGCGTAATTAAAATCAAGCAATGACGAGTATACACGTCGAACGCAGGGCAAATGCTCCTATTAGAAGTTTGACGAAAAAGGTAAAGCAAAACGAGGGAGAATTACATTTTTATTCGATAAAAAATTAACAATTCATTGCTGAAAATAAAAATAATAAAATTCATCAACGAGAAAAATTAAAGAAAAATAATTTTAAGAAATTCAGTTGATTTAATATAAAGGAAACATACCACCAAATGACATTTTTATTACTTCTTATTGAAATTTGGAGTTTTCATAGTAAATGGTAATTTTTATACACGTCGAACGCACCGAAATAAAGTTTCGGATTGACGTGTACACACGTCGAACGCAGTTAACTGGTTAAACAGTATCGATAAAATTTCGCAAGAGAATTTCGTTATTCGTTAAAGTCTATCTCTATATGTCAATATGTAGTTGAATCTTAACGACAAACATTTCAACGAACAAACGAAACTCTAGCCAAGACTGTTAGTGCAGCTTTACGATTAACGATTCGACCAGACCGACTTTTCAGCTGGTTTGAGGTCGGTTCGTTGACTCGAAAACCTAACTAGCTGAATCGCGATCCGCACGAACAGCCAGAGCTCTATGCTGCTTTGGCCAGGATAAACAGATTAGCCCATTGAAACTGCAACGAGCCTGATTGCAAGGTCACTTTAACGTCTGCTTGACAATTAGCGGAGGGAAATCCCTAGATGATCGGTAAATTTGTCGCTTGCTAACTGCATTAATGTTAATGCACATTCCTCATTAACGTGTAACGATTAGAGTGATACAAAGACGTTGAATTATTGAAAACAGCGAAGAAGTAAGAATTTGGAAAAAATCATTTTCTTTAATGAAATTGGTTTCTGCGACGAGAGGAGAAAGAATTATTTCGGAGTACGTCAAGTAAAAAGAATTCACGTAATTGAATTAGATCCGTACATTAGACGAAACGGTTATTCCAATTGGATCTGTTCGGAAAAACCTCATTGTCATCAATTTCACAGGGTAAGTCTGTGAAATTTACGATAACAACGTACGCTCAGAATGACCATTGAATATTAATGAGATTACCAGGATAAGCGGGGTTTTACATACATGAACACCGCTTCCGATATTAACTTTTACTCGTGGAATTACACCGACGTTAATCGTTCGAAACGTATAATAGAGGGGAAATCATTATGAGGCAGCAACCATGACGAAATTGTGAAAACAATGATTAGTGGAGAAAAATTAATTTAAAATATGTCTTGGGGAATTTTAGAGATTTTTAATTAAATCTTCAAAATTATTCACAATATTTTTCAAAACATAAGAAATAAATATTCCATATGGCACACTTTCCAATACACAAATTTTCCATATTAATGAATTATCTGCAAGGATATTCGTTTATTTCATAAAAGGACCAATTGAGACGAAAGATTGTTCAGATAATGGATTACCCTAAGTTTATGACACGGTCCACATATTTACTGTCTGTGAGGATTGGAATTAATTATACAATCAGAAGAAACGCTGAAAACTTAATTGGTGTTTTAAGCACTTAGCCTCTTCTGTTCAGTAACAATTGACGTATCGTAATTTTATTCTTTAGACCGAAGACTAACGAGGACCTGTGTGACGGCGAAAAATCCGGTTAACTATGGTAGGCATCTTTATTCACTCGTCACATTACGAAATGCTCCGATGGGTCGCTTTGTAAAAGGAGCACACAAAATTTTATCGTATTAACAAGAGATGGTAAATAATGAAGATCGTATGCTCACTGCATCTTTTATTTTGAATCATTCCTTACGCAACGGGGCTTTCTGAGAAATCGAAGAAGGGATATCTGGGGTACCAAGTAGAGATACTGAGTATGGGAAACGATGAAGATAATGGCGATGGTATGCAATCAGGTTACGTGGAGTCCTGTAACACCTGGACAACCTGGACTTAGAGGATTTTAACCCTTTCGTGACCGAATTATTTTTTTAATTCATAAATTGTATTATACAACTATTATTATCCTCAGGGGCCGTAGCCGATCTTCCGATAGGCTGCGGTACGGGAATCACGACCCCGAGGTGCCTGAATGCACGGGCCCGGAGGAGGAGTCACATCCTCCCGCTGGGGGCGTTCCCACACGGGGAGGCCTCCCTCCCACGGTCGGGCGGGCCCGCCCCAAGTAATGTGTGTGTCGCCGGGGCCGTAGGGTGGGGCGGGAGACTCGGCAGCCCATTGCACACAGCCCGCAGTGGGGGCGTTGCCGGTGTGGTCCCGGTAACGCCTCGGCGGTGGTGAGGGGGCCCAGTTGACCCCCTCCGAGATGGCGCCCCTCCCATTGCGAACATCTTGAGGGAGGGGCCAGGCGTGGGGTGGGTCCGGTGGCGTTCGTTCCGAGATTCCGGGCCCACCCCGCAGCGCCGAAGAAGGACCACCGTGGGGGTTTTAGCCGGTACGAGTTCGGCAACACCCATCTCCCTCCCCACGGGGCGGGGTGACCATGAGGATTTACCCCATGCAAAAAAAAAAATACAACTATTATTCTTTTTTCTAAATAAAAGTGTTTTATTTCCATCTAATGGACAAATCTTCAACAAACCTTTGAAAATCGTCAGATTTTATTGCCGCATCTAATTCTAAGCGATACGGTACACTCTCCAACGCGCAAAATAGCCTCATTTTCGGTGCACACGAAAAAGGTAAGGAAAGGTATACACACCGGACGAAAATGTGCCCAGGATAAAACTGGTCGGTGTAGAAACGAACCGAAATGCAGATGAGCGTAACCTGTGCGCTCCATAGGAATGCAGATGGCATTCGGTATAATTGAGAGGAGAGGAAACGGCCGCGGGCTGGTTTAAGACAGCAAAGCCACCGAGCCGGAAGCGGCAAGACAGAGAAATCCAGCAGGTTTACGAGCTTAGTTAGCCGGCCGCTTCGCCACCGAGAATTACCCTTTGCTCGTCTGATTATTTTTATCGCTGGACCGACCCTTTTTTACGTCCTAATTTTACGGCAGATTATAATCTTGCGGGTGTTTAAATCTGGGCCACCTAGTTTCCCGTGGAACCAGCTTCGTTCTCTTTATGCGAATAGGAGTTACGGCCGGCGGGATGTGGTTGCGGCGAATGGAGTGGTGCACCACAGCCTTCCTTCTTTCGTTCTATTATTTTTCGTCTCTATTTTTTGGGGGGTATAATGGAGATTTCATTTAGCAGAATGGACGTGCAATGGAGATTCTCGTTAAATCAAGGCATTTTTTATGTATATTTCTTTTTTCAATGGAAAAGTGGTAGGTGTTACTGTAGAGTTTGATAATTTCCACGATCGAGACTAATTAGGTGTAATTTAACACGTTGACTGTCACACCAGATTTATATGTTTTGCTCAGGGGGCCAGAAGAAAATTTTCATTATTCTATGCATAGTATTATATCTTTACGCTTGATTATTATTATTTTCTTTTTTAATTCAAAATAATGTCTAGTTAGCTACGATATTCGAAATTTTTAGTTGACGATATTCATTTTATTTTTTCCGGTCACAGGTGACCAAAGTGGCAGTCAATGTGTTAGAAGAAAGTATATTTAACCCTTTAACGCTCACATTTTTCTCAACTTGATGTGCCAAAAACGATCAATTTTATTTTTTGTTTTTAATTATTTCCTAGGCTTGCAGAAATAAGTTCGCCATTTATTTGTAATACTGCGATTTACATTTTTTCAACAAAATAGAAAGAACAGTGCAATATGAACGGTGAAAGAAAATAATTAAATAAAATCACACTTTTTGGAACATTAATTATGCAAGTGTAAGACAGGGGCATGAGCGTTAAGGGGTTAAATAGATAATGAAATTGTACAGCTAAACTTAATATCACTTCACGCGCGATTATGCCGCTAAATATGCCTCTCTGCAAGACTAAACCACGCTGACTCTCGTTAATTAGGCTGTGACTTTCTGTTTCTACTGTTCTCCACTTTGAAAAATTTTCCATTTGAATCTTCCATTCTTATCTACTACACTGACTTTTCCAAGAACTTCATTTGTCGTTGTTAAAGACGCGATCGAGAAGTTCAAGGGCTAAAAGCATCGTTAGCATCTTGAAATTATTAATTGATAGCTTTTATCGATAATCACGAACGGCAGAAACTTCCAAGTTTCGAGTAACAATTAACAACTAGCAACGACTTTTACTTAAATTTTCTTCGAAGAACACCAGTATGGAATTTTATTCCGTAATAGATAATTAGTTAATTATGCTAATTAATTAATCAGGTAGTCCAAGTAATTGTACAATGCTCTCACAGATTAAAGGAACATTATTCTTGGAAGTTTCTAATTAGATGTGATACTTCATTCCCTTGACGAATGAACTCCATAATTATACTTGCACTCAACATGTTTTTACAAACTTCGAATTTTTCCTAAAGTATCATCTTTTCACCGAACGTTAACTTCACAAAATATACATATCAGATAATTGCAATTAAAAAAAACAAACGAACAAGTACAGTTCTACTTTAATAAACTTAGTAATTACTGTAATAAATATGTAACAAATTAATAGTAAATTAGTAATATGGTAAAAAACAAAGGAACAACAAAGCTAATAAATATGTAATAAATTGATAATAAATTAGTAACATGGTACCAAAAAAAAGGAACGATAAGGGTAACAAATATGTAATAAATTAATAGTAAATTAGTAGCATGGTGAAACAAAAAAAAAAGGGGGGGGGATGACAAAGGGTGCTTAAATGTTTCGGAACGTTCTTCACTCTAATTGCCGCGAATCTTCAAATGAAGTGGAAACAGCGACTGTTTTATCGCGTTATTTCGCAGGACTTGTGTTTATTGCCAGTTTCATAATCGCCTTACAGTCACTTCGAAGTCTTAAACAAAACTTTAACCCGTTGGATGGGGCGGCGAAGAAGACAGGAGGGAGGGAGAGATGTCCAAGTGACTTCCAGGCCAAAAGGGTTGTCATTATGAAACCGCCTGCAATCTTGTTTGGAAGTGGAAGCGAGGCGCAAAGGGATCATATACATACGTTGTTAGTATGAATATTTAACACGGGCGAAATTCCTGTAAAACGATCGACGCTCGACCGGTTACACGCGGAGCGTACACACATTATTTATTCAGAATAAACTCAACTTGCCGATCCTCCGTTTGCGTTCGTTCAATTTACATGTTTACTTGAGTTTAATTACTCTAAAAAGCAATCGGCGGATATTGAAGCTGGCCTCTGATCAGGCGAATACCCGGATTCGCCGTAATAAAAACCGTTTCTCGTATCTAAAGTGCGACGGAAGTTAATTTTTTCGGTGAATACACTTTTAACAGTGTTATACTGGGTGGGCCACGTGAAACAAACTGTCTAACGATTTTCTATGGGTATGTGGCGGTACGAGAAATTTTTTAGACTAATTTAAATGGTTTCTAAGGGTGACTACGATGGAAGAAATGTTTCTTTCAATTGTTTACATTAATACGACCTTAGATCCTAAAATTTCTAGTCAAATGTGAAATTTCCTTTCATTTTTCACCATTTCTTCAATTTCATCTTGTTCACCCTTTGAAACCATTTAAATTACACATAAAAATTTTCTCGTACCACCATAACTAGAGAAGCTATTTAGGTGGACTGTTTCACATGGTTCACCCTGTATATTGCAATTTGTATAATTGTCAACCAATTTCCCAAAACGCAACGCATAATATTAAGTCATTTTCAAAGTTCCCGCGTTTCTAAGCCGTCCATTTTGAAAAAAACGTAACTCCACTGAAATTAAATTTTAATTTCATTTTCGTATCAAATAATTTCCATAGTGTTCCATACATTTTTGCCAATGTGAAAATCCGAATCTCTAAAAGAAAGACGCAAACGAATCTCCTCGAACCAAATCTAATTTACAAGTGAACGAATTTTTTTTACGTCGAATTTGTCCCTTTGCACCGATGAAAAGCTCTCGACGGAAGCAACGCATTTTCTTCTTTTCGTTTTCTTTCTCAAAGCACAATTGTTACGTACCTTTCGTACCTCAGGGCCCCCGGTTTCGGTCAGTCCATTCAAGGAGTTCACCTGGGATAGGGGCGGCGACAGAGACTACCGCAGGATTCAATTCACACAAGTTTATTGACTATCGGTTGCTGTACAGAGGCGTTCCTCGATGCAAGGATATACAACTGAGTGCCCGCGCTGGAAGCGCGTCGGTTTTTCAAGCTGCTTCCCTCTCCTGTCCTCGGGGTGGTGGAAATGGGTTAGAGGAGGAAAGATCGGGACAAGGATAGATAGTTTGGGAATTTTCCGGACAGTACAGCGAGCCTATCCAAGTTTAGACAATTGCCCCTTTTTTGGGGCATCGAAGGATGTCGATGACGTGAACCAGACGCGTGGCACTCCGACCCACGGGCATCCTCGAGCGTCGGTCTCTCGGTGCCTCGCATAGTCTCGAGTGACGCGCCCGGTTCTCACCTGATTTATTGCACTACCCTTGAGTGGCTTTTCGCTGTAACTGCCCGAAGGAATTTTGGCGAATGCAGAGTGTGTGACTGTTGTAGGATTTCTATGGTTTCCCCGAAGACAAGAGAGGTTCGCTAGGCTTGGAGGTTACGGACGTAACACATCATCTAAGACGATCAACTAGCGAATGAATGATTGGTAGATTGATATTAAGGGTTCTCTTACCGCTCTCATTTTATCCTGCGTATCGCCACGAGGGTTCGATCGTATCTACAACAAACGTTTTACGAACATTTTCAGACTGAGCCATGTTAAGGTGCCAGACGTCGTACTACAAGATGCGAGTTTGTTAGCGATGGATGGAACTTATGTAATGTATTTTTCTGCTTGAAAATTCGTGACAGTTTTTAGTAATCTCGAGATAGTAAAAATCGAATGGAAATTAACACTTATGTATATATTTTCCGCTTGCAAATTTATGACATTATTTTCTGTAACTTTTAGATAATAAACATGGAATGGAAATTAACACGTCGAATGCCATATAATGGTTTTGCACGTCGAAAGTGACTGTCATGTACCACCTTTTTTGTTCAATCTTTTTTTGTGATAATAATGTTATGTGCGTAAGTTGTGTAACACGAAATTTCAGATTTTTCAGGGAGGAATGAAAATTGTTTCTTGAATTCGGACAAACGTTACCTTTAGATCCCTCGTCGAGCTTTTCAACACTCGAGTAATCATTGGAGCAATCAATATGTAAATGATTATAAATCTGACATTTCATATTACACGACCTGACGCATTCTAAAATATAACAGATATGGATCAGCTGGCAGGTATGCACAAAATTTGCCTAGGCATTCAACGTGTTCGGAGTATAATAAAAATTGAAAATAAAAATACGAAAGTAAGCCTAGAAGCTGAAAAAAAATGGGATAAAAATTGAAAAATAGCCACGAGAGATGGACAAAAATTGTCACGAATTTAGGTGAAACGACTGACTTATCGCCCGTTTCCCTAGGCTGGTGGCGCGATCAAGAAACAGGCATGCTAGGCACGGATGATCGATGCGTAAGCCACTAATCTCGCAGCAGGTAATCCCGAAAGCTTGCGTAAATTAAATTGAGAACCCAGTACGAAATTAGAACACGCCCATTGTTCGATGTGCACGATTTTTCGTTCCCGAAATTGTCCGGATGTATAGTCGAAGTACACGAAATACGAGCCCCGAAACAGCAATTCGAGGGAGATAACGAGCTCGAGCCACGCTCACAGCTTCCGAGTTTGATGTCAACTCAGAATTTGTTCTTCCATTCCAATGTAGTTAAAGAATTTGCGCTTTAATCATTAACAGCTGCAGGTTAATTTTTACTAATACAGAAATTACTATTGGGCAGGAGGTGACGGAGACCTAATATCGCATATTTTAAGCCTTTGACGATGGAGAACTACGTACAATAATTTTTACAACACATAATTAAGTCATTATATTAATGTTTTTTTTTTTTTTTTACACTGAATCATATCAAAATTATATTTTTCTCGAATATACGAACGCGAGCTCACGGCCATAACTACTAATTTTACTGCTTGAAAATATGCGACTTTACTGGTTGCGTTCATAGTGTTTTATGAACGCTTACACGAGCCCTTAAAGGGTTAAACGAAAGACTGTAAGCAAAAATTTGAAATATGAATTCCGGGTGTCGTCGCTTAATGCTTCAATTTACGACCTGACTGTATCGCTTCCACCGACTATACACTTGTTCACCGATCGATGCGGCTTCTTCCTTTCATCTTCAAAACGTAGCCGAATTCCGCGTGGCTCTTTCGTTATCGCCCAATTTATGCGGCAGGATTTCTGGCGCAAACAGATTTCATTGGATATCGCGTGGGTGCAAACGATATTGCGTTTCAGGGAAACCGCGAGTTTTTAGGTTCCTGGAAGATTTTCTCATCTGGCTAACGTAAATTTCCACGAATTTTTGTGGAATTTGTAGGAAAGTATTACACATGGAAGATTTAATTGTACAATTTTATTGTTCGTGCGTGAAATTCTATCAAACAGTGAATTTTAGTTATCCTGAATGGCGAAGGAAGTATAATTCACTTTTGAAACAAATAAGAATCAAACTGAAATCCGAAAATAAGAGAAATAACAATTCTACAAAAATCCCTCCCTCTCTCGCGAATAAGAAAGCAACGAGAAAGTGTGAGAAAAAGAAAAAAGAGAAAAAGAATAAGAAGGTCAACCGAACACTCGGTATAGAATTCTCGGCAATGGTCAACGAGTCTCGTAGGAAGCTCTCATAAAAGAGAGTTTTCTCGTTACACGCGAAACCCATTTGCCGTCGAAATCTCGCCACGAATTGCTCGTGGGCAATGTTACCTACATTACCGACGGAGTAGAGAAACGCCGGAAGCCGATATCGAGGCTGTGTTTTCTCCCCGAGAGACACACATACGTCATTATCCAACGAATCATTCGCGAGAAATTGAATTCGCGGAGATGTTACTACGTGTGTCCACCACACGTGTGTACTCTGCCGCCTGAAGGTGCAAGAGCACGTGTGACGTGTTGAGGCCAGCGGAAGATTTCAACCGGAAATCCTC